GAATATAACAATAACCATATCCATTGTCGCGTCCAGTGTAGTTAAATAATAACAATGACATAATATATGAGTTCCTACAAATATCAAAACGACATCCGTGGATAAGTTAAATTATTTTATTATGAATATATTATTATAGAATCATAACTAGTCTTCATAGTCATTTTATACAGGAAATTCAAATAATAAATAGACGATTGAAACAATAATGACTACATCCTGGATCTTTGCATTGTTAAATATGGGCTGGTCTAGAGTTAGCTCACACATACAGAATTAACAAGGGATTATCATTTATATTATTGTTTTACATATACACACACATACATTTGCGTCCATCAGATTTATAAGGGACTTGGAAACAAAGGCAAATCAGACAAGTTCTTGCTATGTGGCACTGAGCACCTTCACGCTAGTGTATGTCATGGTCAGGACTTAGAAGAATTTTAGAGTTTAAATTAAATATCTGGACTTAGAATATTTTCAACAGTTTAAATATTTGAACTTAGAATACTTTTCATCACAGTTTAATATTAGGACTTTAAATTAATTTTAACAGCTAAATTAACTAATTGTACTCAGAATAATTTTTAACAGTTTAATAAATCACTTTACCACAATTAGCATTAATTATTTACTAAATCTACCTACATCCATCGGTTGAACAGACTGCATGAATCACTGAAGTTCAATCAATCGGTTGGCACGCAAAAAAATTGACGCAGTCAGTAGGATATTCAATAAGAAGGCAATTCCACATCGGAACCACCGAAAAACCAAACAATCGTGCAGTCCTTCAACTTCTCAACTTCAATTGAATAGCTGATACTCCTCCGGATTATTCAGTCACCACAATGTCTTCAATCAACACTTGTTTGTAAGCATAATTTTCTTTTTTGCAATAGTTATTTTATTTTTAAGTAACAATTTTTTTCTCTTTCTAAAATAATTCTAATATATAGAAATTATTCTATATATTATTTAGAATTAAAACAAAAAATAAAACATTCTAAGTTCATAAAAAACCATCGACACCTAAAAATTCTAACCAAGCATATCCACATTATTACTGAGAATTATTATTGAGTTATTAAAGGGGATCCTGAGGTTAATATTGATATTATATTGAGAATTATTATTGTGAAATTAATTGAGTTTATCTGGCGCTGGAGGTTCAACACGGTAGGGAAAAATATTATTTTTATTGGAGTTATTACATTAAAGGGAATAATATTGAGAATTTAAAGAGATTATTATTGTTGAATTGTTGAGATTATTATTATTGAATTATTGAGAATTTAATGTTATTGAGTAAAGAATTTTATGAGTCCGCATAGCAGTTCAAACTCGTCTCCATCAAAAGTATCTAATTCAGTATATAGAGAAAAAATTGAAAGTGAAGGTAGTATAGAAAATCTTGAAATAAATTTTATAAAAGAAGACAATAATAGTATGTATTTGTATGTTCTGTCACCATTTTTTAGAATTAGAGGAAGATTTGAAATTTCGGAGGTAGTAAAAAATAACAATTTTTGAATTTTTGATTTACACGGTAAAACCGAGATTTTGATTCATTTTTACTGCCTCAGAAATTTCAAATCTCGATTTTACCATGCTCTAAAAATGTATCATTTTTTTTTTTTTTAATTACTCTGTAAAATTGAGATTTTGACCCATTTTTAATGCCTCAAGAATTTTTCAAATCTTGATTTTTACTGCCTCAAGAAATTTTTAAATCTCCCTGTAATTCTAAAAAATGGTGACAGACTATACGGATATATCAAGTTTTTGATGTAGGAATGTTTTGTTTCGACTTTAATTTCCCTTTTTAAGATTTTATAAATTTTAAAACCTTAATACACAGAACAACCTATCAAAAATAGTAATCTAGCTCTAAATACAAAAAATTGACATTGAATTGATTTTTTATTTCATTAATTCTCATCTTCTACAGTACCCATAATGTTTCTTATTCCTTGAATATTTCAAGCATATGATACTGACAGATTGAGATTATGAGCGCTACAATGTATATACAATGCACTCGGATATTCTTTTTTAATTAAAGCTGCAACGCAATTTAATTTCCCACTCATACTTGCGGCACTGTCATAACCTTGACCCCGTAGATTTTTGATTTTAATATTTAAACCTTTTAACTCATATAACCTTTTCTCCGCTCCAACGCGAAGTATCGTTCTCATCGTCTGTGATCAGTAATATCTAATATTATGTTCTAATGTTCAACTTAGGTTTTTCTACAGTTGACAGTGCATTATAGTTTTGTTGAGATATACGTTCCAATATATACCTAGAAACAATATCATTAATCACATGTAGTTATATGCTGAAAAATGATTCACAAGTATTTAAGCAAGTAAATACTGATATTATTTAAACATATATGTCCCCATCTATTTTAACTTTTTTTTTTAAAGTTGAATTCTAGCCAATAATGCTTTCTATCAAGTATATTGTTATCAGGGGGAACAACAACCCCCTATCCTTCAATAAACACACCAGAAAACGATTATTATGTGCCGCCGAACTAATCAAATGCGTGTACTCTTTGACATAGTAGACCCGATCATACTGTTTGATTACCCGTTTGACGACTGCAAAATCGCGGTAACCGGAAGTAATGATTGTCCACGAAAAGGTAGATAGTTGTGAATAACAGAAAACCTTGTTTCAGCAAGATCGCCAAAAAATCTTACCACTGTAAGGTTTCGATTTTGGCTACCACAGCCGTTTGAAATAACACATAATTCCGCTTTATCACCTTCACCTATAGTGACCGTGAAAGTTTTCGGGGGAAATTGCTCTTTTAACTTGTGTAATTTTTCTTTCCTTGCTGTTCTGCTATTACTACGAGATCTTGATTCGGTCCCGGATTGGTTCTCTACATCAGATAGTGGTTCAGTAGTATTCTTTTTGTTTTTCTTTCTTTTATTCACTACCTCAATGAACTCTGCCTCAGATATTTGAACATCTGTGACGAGGTCGATAGTGACTCTTCTGGGGGGTTGAACAGGCATTGGATTTGGCCTCCTACCAATTCTTTCCTTGATTGGGACTCGTTAATTCCCTTCCCGGTGCATCGTCCGTCTCCATAGCTTCTGATGTATTGGGTTGGTTATTGTCTTTAACTTTCTTAGATGCCTTTATATGTTTATTGACGTTGTTTGTTTCTATATCTAGAAATAATTTCCTATGTACATTTGAGGCTTCTTCGGAGACTCTGGCCTCCAAGAGACGTATAATATTTTTCTGAGTTGAAATTATTTAGTCCTCATTGTCGTCTTCATCTTCGCTTGAACTACTTTCGTCAGTGTTTATGTTCAATAATATTGGTTCTAATATATCATCCTTTAGTCCCGCCTTGACGAAGTCCTTTTCCTGAATTTCGACGCAATGTTCTCCACATTGGGCCCAATCGTCCGTAGTTACTGCATCGATTTCTTTGTGCACAAATGTCTCGACATCTGCAATCTTGGATGTTGAATTTTTTTTAGCCACTCTGCCTTTTACTTGAATCAGTCGTATAGGATTGTACTAACTGTGATACTGGGGAATCAATTACCAGGTATCAAGTCATACCCATACACTTTGTATGAATTAATCTAATATTACACTTGTGGTTTAATTTTGATAAAAATAATAATTTTTTTTATGTATTTTATTAACATCTAAAATAGTATGTTCCATTATTCATATAATGTTCCAATATTCTTGTCCGTACCTGAACTCAAAATCCACTTTTTACGAACGTCTTCATTTGTTGGAAATTTACGAAACATTAAATCTGGATTATTACGAGCGGATTTACCACAGTCCATGTACACACATTTACTTCCACAACCGCGCGACATAATATTAATATAGGTACAGCGTACAAATAACAATAAATAAAAATAAATAATACAGTAAATAATAATTATAATATTATACAAGAACGTCAAGAACTGCACAACAACACGAGGTAAGGTAGTGTTGCGTGCCGTCGTTCAATCGTAACGATGGTTAAGTTTTTTAGGATAATACTTCAAATATAATTAAACTGTTTATTTAAGAATTTTTCTAAGTACAAAACATTAATTTAAGAAATGATATGGCGTGAAGGTGCTTGCGATTATACCTGTAAACCACATCTGCCTATTGGTCTATTCCCAACCCCCTTATATACTTAGGTCCCGTGGGAATCAAACGTACCGCGCTGTGCGAAAGTTGTTTTCTTGTATTATAAATATAAAATTTATTACCTTAGTGACCTTGTTAATATTACTATTCGCGCATCTCTCATATGCGTTTTTACTAATTGCAGTATTAAAAGATTTAGCTTTGTTCGATGATGCCTTCGACTTTTAATTATTCTTTTCTACATTGTTCACCGATGCTAATCATTTATTGGTAATTGTAAGGACCTACTTTTATGTATGTCCGAAACATTGTATTACCCTCCAATTAGATTAATAATTTCTTTTTATTATTGCGAATACTTTATTATTCATAATAATTTCCCGATCTTACTATAGTCTATTCAGAATAACCTTGCCCACTTTTGCGCATTACGATGAGCCGCCGGCAGTCGTCCGACCCCCCGGCGAGATTCAGGTGGTCTGTGATTGGTCGTTAATTGTCGACTGCTGCCGTCACCTGTCGTTATCGATAGCCGCCGCCCGTGTATACAGGCGATCATAATTACACGACCGTAATAATTATTACCTATAATGTTAAGTTATAACAAAAAACTTATAACTTATAGTTTTTTTTCTTTAATGTTTCTTGTACTTTATTTTTACCTTATTGTTCTGCACCATACACAATTCCTACGTTGTGTACAATTATTATTAAAACCAAATAAGTATCAATAAATGCAATTTAATAGGAAATTAAAACAAAAAAAATGAATACAAATTTCATATTTACAAAAATTACTCATATATTTAAACAGATCTTTACAAAAATTAAGGTCATATTTACAAAAATTTATGTCATTATTAATCACTATCTGAATCCGTTTCAGATGATGTGTCTCCAGTTAAAGTCATCAATAAATTATCTGATTTCTCCGCGGACAAGACCTCGTCTATAATATTGTCGACTTCATAAAATTGTTTTTCTAATTTGTTAGTGTGGCTTATAAAATTTTGCCACTTTTCTGCGTTGACTCGTTTTATGCCTTCTATCAGTAAATTTTTTACATCAGGAAGTTTGTATGTTGTGTTATTCATCCGGACGTGGTTCTTTACTAATGACCAAGCTGATAACCAGCTCAATGGGGTTAAGCTCACAGTGGTATGGCGGGAGTCGTAATATAGTATGATTATTGGCTTTTACCAGTTCATCAATAACATACTTTTTATGTAGCGGCTTCAAACGTTTGACCCTAAGTAGAAGTTGAGGGATAACCATTGAGTGATTTATCACTTCTCCTTTATTTTCCAACCATTTGATGATATCCGCCTTTAGGGTATGGGATGATGGGGCTTTGTCGATTGTGACGGAATGGTAGGACGCATTGTCCACAACAATTACGGAATTGGGTTTTAATAGAGGTAGAATGCCCTCCATCCACTCACGAAATGTGTCCCCATTCATTTCGTCATGGTAATCACTTGTGTTTTTTTTTGATTCGAAACACAATAAACCTCCGGGTAGAAAACCATCTTCTGAGCCGATATGGAGTACAATGAGACGTTTGCCCTTACCCGAGGGATTAACAGCACCTGTCGATAGACCTTTTAGGAATGCGTCCCGGTGAGATCCTACTATTGTGTCGACCCATGTTTTCGATGTACAATCGCCAGCATTCACCCATGTTTCGTCGAGGAAATAAATATGTCGACCATCTTCTCGGTACTTTTTAATGTTCTCCAAATACATTCTACGCCAATCAACAATTTCATTTTTTTCAGCCATAGCACTGTTTCTACTGCGTTTACAGTATCGGAAATCTAAATCTTTCAACAGATGAAATAAATTGGTTCGCGATATTGATGGCAAATTGTCATCAGCGGATACGGCTTGGTGAATTTTATCTATTGTTGGAATTTCACGACGAAACCAAATGCTATGAACGTGTCTGCGTACTGCGTTTTTTGCAAATTCGTCAAAAAGATCGCGAAATGATTTTTTTTTTACGTTTTTGTTTTGGAGCAACCACCTTGTGTGTCTCCTTGTATGTTGTAATAATTGTCTGGATCGAACGTTCGCCAACACCCAATACTTCCGATATTTGTTTTCGTATTTATCTCACGGATATGTTAGGTTCATTCATTGTAATACTTTTGTACATATTTACAATTCGGATTCTTACTTCCCCACTTATAGCCTTAAATAAGAATATTTTAAAAAAATAAGTCTTAATAAAAATACTGTCTTGAAGGACGTATTTGTAATTGAGAATCAAATATTACTTTATTTAAATAATTTTAAAATTTAAAAAAAGTTATTCGTCACATTTTGAATTGTTTTTATGAATGCAATTTATGATAACTTATTTATATTATATATAATACTCACTTTTCCCATTTTATGCTTTTTAATTGGTGATGGGACATATTGAGCATCTTCATCACTAGAACTGCTTGCCATGCTCATGTTGAATAAAAAATAATATAAAAAAATAGCAAATAACGGTGGGTGTGCGGTGTTTTGACGTGTTGCGGAATGAACGCTTGTGGTAATGTAGAATCGTGAACACATGTGATATTATTGTCCACTACGTATACAACAGCGGCGCGTCGGCGGCGGCAACTCGCCAAACATCAGCGCTCACCGTGGCAACTGACATGCGCGAACCAGACGAGTTTTCGTCGGTCGAGTGGGCAAGGTTATTCTGAATAGACTATAATTACAGTTTATGTGGTCCCGCTCATATTGTAAGAGTCGTAAGGACCTACATTTATGTATGTCCGCAACAGTAGGTTGAGAGCAAGGTTTATAGATAATATTATCTATAAACCTTGAACCTAAATACTATCATCAACTACTAAAGACTACCATCGCGGTAGTGATAGTGCTGAAAATTATTCTAGCGCTACCTGAATTAGGCTCCCATACTATTTTTTGTGTCTCGCGTATTTAACACAAATAAAACAACTATGTTTTAGTATAAGAACCTTTATTGTACTTTATTTTAAAAAATATCATAATATGTAAAAACGTTTTCCATTCATGTGCTTGCGTTTTGTTCGGTTATTGTTACCGCAGCACAATCACAGTGTCGCCAACATCACACCTCTCTCTACTTAATTTGATAATATAATTTTTATAATAATAATATTAATAACAAAATAATAATATAAAATAGTTCAATGACAAACTCTTAAAAAAATAAATAACAAATAATAATAATACAAATTATACTAGAAAAGAAAATTAATACATTTTTTTTCTTTTTTCTTAAGGTGATCAATCGGGTCGAATTAAATTACTTAATGATTCAATTAAAACCGAACATTTAAATACGGAGGAAAAACAAAACATAATAAGTATTTGTAATAACTATTCTGATATTTTCTATTTAGAGGGGGACCGTTTAACAGCAACAGACATTGTAACGCATAAAATTAATACACCACGTATTACGAAACCAATTAACATTAGACCTTATCGTATTCCGTGGGCTTATCAAGTAGAGATCGAAGAACAAATTAAAAATATGAAACAAGACAATATTATCCGTAATTCCGTATCACCGTTTAATTTTCCCTTAGTAGTAGTGAAAAAGAAAACTGGGGAGGATGGACAACAAAAACTTCGTGTATGTGTCGATTTTCGTAAACTTAATGAGGTAACTGAAAACGAAGCTTATTGCTTACCCAATCTACTAGACATTTTAGAATCACTGGGAGCATCTAAATACTTTTCCACGTTAGATTTAGCTAGTGGGTATCATCAAATTAAAATTGATGAAGCTGATATTCATAAAACTGCGTTTTCTACAAAATCTGGTCATTATGAATTTTTACGAATGCCTTTCGGGTTAAGTTCCGCACCAGCCACGTTTACGCGTGCTATGAAATCAATTTTAATGGGATTAGAAGAGATGTGCACAGCATATCTCGATGATATCGTAGTACACGGGTCAAGTTTAATAGATCATGGTGATAAATTAATAAAAGTTTTTAATAGATTACGTATTCACAATCTAAAATTACAACCGAGCAAATGTATGTTTCTACGAAAGGAGGTTCTATATTTAGGTCACATTATCAGTGAAACTGGAGTTTCACCAGATCCAAATAAATTAAAATGTATACGCGATTACCCAAAGTTAAAAAATGCGAAGGATATTAAATCTTTTTTAGGCTTACTTAACTATTATCGTCGTTTCGTCGACAATTTCGCAAAAATAGCAAAACCACTAACCAATTTATTAAAAAAAGACGTACCTTTTGTTTGGACTGATATGTGCGAAAACGCATTTGAAGAATTAAAACGTGTACTCACCAATCCACCTCTATTAATATATCCTGATTGGGAAAAAGGAAATTTTAATTTAACGACTGATGCCAGTCAATACGCGATAGGAGCTGTATTATCTCAGGGGGAGCTACCTGCTGATAAACCAATTGCTTACGCAAGTCGTACCTTGAGTAAAGCCGAAATAAATTATAGTGTTATCCAAAAGGAACTATTAGCGATAGTATGGGCTGTTAAACATTTCAGACCATATCTATACGGTCAAAAATTTAAGATCATAACAGATCATAGGCCACTTACTTATTTATTTAATCTAAAAGACGCATCTTCACAATTAATGAGATGGCGATTGCAATTAGAAGAATATGATTATGAGATTGTTTATAGGGCAGGTTCTCTTAATGCAAATGCCGACTGTTTATCGCGTATAAATATGATAACCGATAGCACTTACGACAAAGATTATGAATTATTTTTGAAAGCCAAAGAAAAACCTATATTAAATAAAAGAATTATAGAAATTCCAAATAGTATTCGGAACGCCACCACTAATGAAAATATTTTATTTCCGATATCCGGTGATTTAATAATCACGCATTTAGGAATACGAGAATATATCGAAAAAAATAAAATTTTATCTCCAATTAGTTTCTCTGATACGAATTTCTTTCATATTTTTAAAGAAAACGATCGTTTAATAATATTTTATAAATTAAGAGAAACATATTTGAGTGAATTAAGGGCAGAACAGTTTCTTAAAGCAATTATAGAAATAAAAACATTTTGTGTTTTGAACGAAATAAAGAATTTCTCCACTATTCGGTTAGAAGGGCTAACTACGATTACAAATTTCGAACATATTAGGACTATGTTTAGATATGTTTTTAAGGACACTGAGATACAAGTTTCTATTTATACTGAACAAAGTTGGACTTATGAGGAAAAAGAGTGTATAATTTATGAGTACCATAATACTCCTTTAGGAGGACATGGGGGAGTATCTCGAACAATAAAAAGATTAAAGATGAATCATAACTGGAAAAATTTAAAAAAAAGATGTGAAAAAATATATTAAAAATTGCGAAATCTGTCAAAAGAATAAAACTCATATAAAAACAAAGCAACCCATGTTAATTACCTCCACGGTAACGAAACCATTCGAAAGAATATGTATGGACATAGTAGGACCTCTTCCACCTACAGTAGGAGGGGACTCATATATTTTAACGATTCAGGATGAACTTTCGCGCTATGCATTGGCCTTAGCACTAAACTAGAAAAAGAGAAAAGGAAATAACAATAGGAGTAGCGACAATTATTCATTAACAATCCCCTCCAATACTATCAATCAATTCCATTACCTCCGAAGAATCCAAACAGAAAATTAAGGGGTGTCAAAGAAAAAATTAAATGGTTGAGAGGGATTGATATCCAAGTGATACGAATTCCGAACGAGCTAAATTAGAAGAGAAATGGGATAAACATATGTTGTGTTTAAGACACTTGTATGTACTTGAGAAGGAGAGTTAGTAAAACTTATGTTAACTTTAGATTTATTTTAAAAAAAAAAAAGTAAAATTTTAATAATAATAATTCTCATGGGTAATTTATATATTAAGTCATATTATCGTGAAAGCACTAACAAGCATTAACTATTTTATATATATATATATATATATATAAAATGTTTAAATATCAACACATATGTAACACTAACCTATTTATCTGACATTAAACTAATTAACCATAATTTATTTTGTAATGTTCCTATTATGGGAATAATTATTGTTGTAATATTTCCTATATGGAAATAATAGTATTAATATATTTATATAAATATGTAATCAAAAAATATTTAATCATAACATTATTATTATGTTAATTTTTCATATTATAAATTATTGTAACACTATCAAATTGTAAAATTTTAAGTCCATTGTAAAATTTCTGTTAACATTGTAAACTTGTAATAATTTTTTTTGAATTGTAAAATTGCTGTTATAATTTTAAACTTGTAAACATGTACCTAACTGATTGTAAAACTATAACTGTAAAGAATTAATTTCTGTTTTACAAACATAAATTAATTTTTAGGTGGGGAGGTGTGTCCCACGTATTTAGATAACAATAATACCATAATCACCCCGCATTGCATATTGATATGCATTAGTATATAATGATACATATAATAAATAAACTCTTATAAATATTATACCACATCTATCAAATGCCATACGCCACACAAAGTTCAAGCAAGGTAATAATTAAATGATTATTGATTATTAACCACATCCACATTTCACACAAATATGATCTAACGAGGAAACATTATTCAAATAATCACATCTCACGGGGTTGGCCAACTAACTTACTTTTATGGTCAAAACTATATTTTTAATTAAATAATTTAATTTTAGTTTTGTGTGTTAATTTAATACATAAATTAGTATTGTAATTTGTTTTTGATATTCTTTTTTAAAAAATACTTACATAATATGATATATTTTATTACACAAGTTTTGTTTCCTGTAATACATTTTTTTTTGTTATAAATATTTTTACATATTTTTTTTGAAAAAGTATTATCATATTAAAGACTGACACTTATTGAATATTGAATTATTTTTTACACTAAAGAAGTCAATTTTTAATTTATTTATTAAAATTAAAAATTACAATTTGAAATAAAGTACACTGTAAATTATTAATACTGAACATAAAAATATATAAAATATATCAATGATATTTGTATTAATTTTCATCACTTGCACTTAAACTATTTTCTTTCAAATCATTTATTGGTTGTGCTGCAATTAGTAATTGTAATACTTCTTGTGAGAAAGATGAAATTTTTTTGCTTGGTAACTTTCTTAGGCTAGAAATGACTGGAACTGATGACACTAACCGTCCATATAACAATTCTTCGTTTGTTTCAATCCTAGAATATTTTCTAGAATATTTTTCGCGAATATTTTTTAGGTCTTTATTGCGTGCTTCTTGTGCTTCTTTGGAGATTTGGCCAATGGGAAGTAAAGCAGCAGAAATGACTAATGAGCCATGTAATAATATCTTGTGTACTGAGGATGGCATATAGTACCAAGGATATTCTTTTACTAAAAATGTAACTGTTTCAATTGCGTATTTACTGAATGGTTCTTTATTTATTTCATAACCAAATGACATAGCTTTAAGAATTGTTGAACAACGTTTAATAAGGATTTCTTTTATTACCGTTATTTCAGCTGCTTTTTGAGGGTTATCAAAAAATCGTCGAGAAGTGTTCCCATCATTGGATGTTCCTTCATCTCCTGATCTTACATAATCTACTTTTAACCCCATAATGGTTTTAAATTTTTCTTGAATTTTTTTTTCCTAGATAAAAATTAGTCTTTATCTTCATCCCTTAAGGTATGGTCTGCAAAACGCGACATGTCGCGGCGACCGACGATCAAGATCAGTCGCCGCGACCACTTATTTGAAATGTTGTCTGCAATACGTGATCACGACATGTCGCGATGATACCATCATGTCAGTTTAGAATATATAGTTAGAAAAAATAAAAATTAAACTTCTAAAATAAATGTAGTTGTGACATTTAGGTACAGTAAGATTAAAAAAATCAACATTTTAATAAAATTAATAAAATACTCAGCAATTAAATGAATAGTTGAAAGAAACAAAATCAAATATATTATTATACATAGAAAACTGTGAGTCTGAAGATCTAGAGTAAATACTACCCGACGGGGAAGGTTGATTGGAATCTAATGTTTGAAAATGTTGTAATGGGATAAGTGGAGCATGAATATTTGACAAACAGCATTTGGATTTACAGGTTGTTCTTCTAAAAAATACTTTTCTTCAAGTTGTGTCATCAATGAAAATATCTTTTTTTTTAGCTTCAAGTTTTCCTTTAAGTGGTAATTTCTTAGCTGTTATAGCCATAGATTTAAAAAATAAATCAAGTTCATCCAAGTCGTCATCTTTTTTATCCAAAATTTTTTTATTTTGCTCCACCATTTTCTGAATGATGGAATACCATTCTTCTGAATTATTCATTAACAAATCAGCAACACTTAGAACTTAGCACCTAACCTGCTACAACGTATACAGTAGATAGCTGGTCCTTGCTGGTCCCCCCTCCCCCTCACTACCTGCTACAACGTTATCGTTATCAAATTTTTTCTCTATATAATGGTGTTGATAAATAGAAATGATAGTAATAAATGTAACGAATATAGTAAAATTATAAGATATATTTAAAAAAAAATAAAAATATTATCAGGGTATGATGTATTGATAACAAATAATTTTAGCGGGTAATGAGAAGTTTAAATATATTGTACATACGTTAGACATGATAAAAATTCCAAGCACAAACGCCCGCAGTTTAATAAATGATGATGTTGTCTAGACGAATGGTAAGTTACAACCCTTATGTAAACAAAATTGGAGAAGTTTAAATATATTGTACATATGTTAAGATTTATTTGTCCTTGAAATCTAACGTAATAATTTCGAATAAATGATGATGTTGTATAGACGAATGGTAAGTTACAACCCTTATGTATACAAAATTGTTATACGTATTCATAACATCGTCCTAAGATATACAATAAAAATAATGCTAACAACAGTGAAATTACTAATGTGATGAAATCTCTGAAAATAAAAATATATTGAATCGGAAAACACTCGGCTTGACAAATGCTTATGGTCAGTCAGTGTGTGTCCAGAGTATTCGTTGTACACACATGTTCTGCGTATTCATCTATGTTTGTACGATATTTATACTCCGTGTTTTTCTCAGTTTTTCTCTTTTTTTTTGCAGTGTTTAATTTTTAAACATCTTTATCTTTTTATATTTATTACGCTTTTATCTTATAAATTTCTAAAATGTTTAATTGCGAACAATGTTCATCAGTGTTTACGCTGAAACGTAATTTACTTGAACACCAAAAAAAGCATAACTGTGTCACGTCCCGCGTAGTCACACGGTAAAACACATCACAACATCACAAGGAGGTTCCCATGTACATCAAAAACCACAACTATGGATAAGTTAGATTATTGTGTTCACGTGGTTATTACACTAGAGATTACAATAAGGAATTAGAATATCGAAATCACAAGCGTGGACAAGTGAAAGGGTTCACATAAACGTTTTTCTGGGAAATTGAAATAAAATAGTTTATCGGAATGATGTGGTGACCATATCCTGGGCATTTGCGTCAATAATTATGTCACGGTCTGGAGATAACGCACACACACTCACAATTTATAGGAAATTATCTTATTTTATTATCTTATTCATTTACACACACACATTTGGGATTTTACACACACACATACAATATCACATATAAAAGGGACCCGAAAACAAGGGCAAATCAGACGAGTCTTGTCTATGCTGCACTGAGCACCTTCACGTCAGTGTATGTTATGGTCTGGACTTAGAAATATTTCCAATTATTTTATAAGTTTAATTGTTAGGACTTGAATAATTTCTATCACTAGAATATTACAAAATTTGTAGTTAGAATAATTTTTATAAGTTAAATAAATTTAATCATTTTTAAAAATAAGAAGTCTTATTTATTCCTGGCTACACTTCCACACAAGCGTTGACTGAGACGTTGTAACTGAGTTAACGGATCAAACGGTTGGCACGTAAAAAAAATTGGCGCAGTCGGTAGGATATTCAATAGAAGGCAATTCCACATCGGAACCATCGAGGAGCTGAACAACTTGCAGTCCTTCAACTTCTCAACTTCCATTGAATAGCTGATACTCCACCGGATCATTCAGTCAACAACATGTCTTCAATCAACAATTGTTTGTAAGCATATATTTTGTAATAACCATATTATTTTAAGATACAATTTTATAAAAGAAACGAAAACATTCTATGTTCATAAAAAAAAAACCATTGACACCTAAAAATTCTAACTAAATACCCAAATTATTATTGAGAATTATTATTGAGAATTATTATTGAATTATTATTGAGTTATTATTGAATTATTGAATTATTAAAGGGGATCCCGAGATTATATTGAGATTATATTGAAATTATATTGTGATTATATTGAAGTTATATTGAAATTATATTGAGTTTATATTGAGTTTATATTGAAGTTATATTGAGAATTATTATTGTGAAATTTATTGAGTTTATCTGGCCAGAGGCTCAATACTGTAGGGAAAAATATTATTTTGTTGGAGTTACTATAAAAAGGAATAATATTAAAAATTATTTAAAGAGATTATTATTGTTGAATTATTGAGATTATTATTATTGAATTTATTGAAAATATTATTGAATTATTGAGAATTAAAAGTTAATGGGTAAAGAATTTTTATGAGTAAGCATAGCAGTCCGGACTCGTCTCCATCGAAAGTAGCTAATTCGGTGTATAGGGAAAAAAGTGAAAGTGAAGGTAGTGTGGAAGATCTTGACAAAAGTTTTGTAAAAGAGGAAAATATTGATGAACACACTAAAAAATTATTAAACGTAGGAACACAAGCGTTGACTGAGACGTTGTAACTGAATTAACGGATCAAACGGTTGGCACGTAACAACTGCGTGATTTACCCGTGTACTTTGTGCAAATCAACATTCAACGACAAATCCAATATCATCAGACACATGAAGAACATACATGGTGAATATTTATTATTTTATATACATGATATTTATTTAATTTATTACCTTTTTTATTTACAAAGGAATCGTCAATGTTCCCGCAAACCGCAGACCGAACGTCGAATCCAAGATCGTATCCGTCGTCCAACCCGCTCATCAAACCAATATACAGATATCGCCTCAGATTTTTGTTCCAAATATTTCGGCTGGTACATCAAATGCGAAATCCATCAATTCTCAGCCTGATGATGAAATTTGTATGGCTGTATTGGATGAGTTTCAAAAACAAGATTTAGCAGATACTATAAGAGGTAACGCTTTAATTTTTTAATTTAAATTTCCCTACCACATTGAACGATATTAAAAAATTTGAAAAAAAAATGAAGTATCAGTCAATGTTTATAGCATAAAACAGGGAGAACCAACCTATAAAAATAACGTAAAAAAAATTTCGAAAAAAAATTTTGCCGAATCAAAATTCAATAAATATGTCATATACCCATTAAAAGTTTGCGATGACGAATTAAACGATCATCATGATTTATTGTTATTCGATGACGGAAATGGCAGACAACATTATTGTTGTATAACTAACTTGGCAAAATTAGTTGGTGCCCAAATATCGCGGCATGGACATACCACATTGTTATGTAAGCGGTGTTTCAAATCATACTGGGGGATCAGCCGTTGGGGTGTTACCGCTGAACAACGGCTTAAAAATCATAAAATGAATTGTAATAAAAATAAACCAACAGTACCGTTATTACCAAATCCTAATACATTTCTAAAATTTGAAAATTGGGGTCATTCACAAAAGCATCCATTTGCAATTTATGCAGATTTCGAATCAATACTTGAAAAACAAACTGATACCAATATTACAAGCAATACTAATATTATTCACCACCATGACGTCATGAGCTATTGCTATTTTGTTAAGCCTAATGATGATATACCTACATATTTATTGAAGGAATTCAATATAGAAACGGACCCAGTTATATTTAGAGGAAATTCTAGTTTTGGTAGAGGTGACGTTGCTAAAAAGTTTATAGAAGAAATAGTTAAAGTTGCTTTAAAAATTGAAAATATACTTAACTTAAATATACCAATTATAATGAGCGAAGAAAATAAAATATATCATGATAATATCATCACCAGAGGAACATGTCCACTGTGCAAGGTGAAATTTGTACAAAGTTTAAACAATGCTGTCGCAGATCACGATCATTTAACAGGAAAATATAGAGGAACCGTATTTAACCAATGCAATATGAAAATGATAATACCTAATTTCGTGCCAATTTTTTTTCATAACCTATTTGGTTATGATTCACATTTCATCGTGACACAGTTGGGTTTTGATACAAAGACAATTAATGTAATACCTAATACAGAGGAAAAATTTATATCTTTCTCAAAATACGTTACAAACAAATTTCAAATCCGTTTTGTAGATACTTTTCGCTTCATGTCAGACAGTCTAGAAAAACTAGTTAGTAATTTAGCTACATATGATAAATTGAAATTTAAAGAAACTTTAAAAGTTTTCAATTCAAATGATATAGAACTGGTGACCAGAAAAGGTATATATTGCTATGAATACACTGATGGATGGGAAAAATTGAACGAAAAATGCTTGCCGGAAAAAAAAAACTTTTATAATACATTAACCGAAACGCATATTGACACCGAGGATTATGAGCATGCAAAACGAGTATGGGAACATTATAATTTTAAGTGTCTTGGAGAATATAGTGACTGGTATATGAAAGTGGACGTCATGCTTCTTTGCGATGTTTTCGAAAATTTCAGAAATTTATGTATGGTTACGTATGGTTTGGATCCCAACTATTACTATACTGCACCTGGGTACAGCTTCGATGCCATGTTAAAACTTACGGAAGTTGAGTTAGAGCTTTTGTCAGACTACGACCAAATATTAATGATGGAAGCTGGAATTCGTGGTGGACTTACACAAGCAAGCAAGCGATATGCTCAAGCCAATAACAGCGAAATTCCTGACTATGACCCATCCAAACCGGATTCGTGGATTACGTACTTAGATGCAACAAATCTGTATGTATTTTCTAATATAATTATGTTAATATATATTATAACTATACATTTGTTTACTATTTTTTTTTTTTTTTTTTTTTAGTTACGGTTGGGCAATGAGTAAGGCAATGCCTAAAGATGGATTTTTATGGTATGAAGGTGATCTTAATACTGAAAATATTTTAAATATTTTGGATGGTATGAATGAAACATCTAAGGTGGGGTGGGCGTTAGAAGTTGATGTTACATATCCTCAATCATTACATGATGATCACAATGATTTACCGTATCTACCTGAGAGGATAATCCCACCTGGATCAAAAATCAAAAAACTTGTCGCTAATTTATATTCGAAAAGGAATTATGTTATACATTACATGGCTTTGAAGCAGGCTCTGAAAGCGGGGTTGATTTTAGAAAAGGTAACAATTGTATTTATTAGTATTAAAATTATATTTAATTACATTTTTTATGTAGGTGCATAGGATTTTAAAATTCAACCAATCACCGTGGCTCGCAAAATATATTGAATTGAATACGAATATGAGAAAGAATGCATTAAATGACTTCGAGAGAGATTTTTTTAAATTAATGAACAATGCAGTATTCGGTATGAGATAAATTTTTAAGCTCTTATTTTCTTGAATATTTTTAAACTCTTAAAATTATAGGAAAAACAATGGAAAACGTCAGAAACAGAATGAAGATGCAACTTGTTTCTGATGAAAAAAAATGTGCCAAATTAATTAATCGAAATACGTTTAAGGATATTACAATAAATTAGCAGCAATACATTTGAACATGGATGTATTACAGTTTGATAAGCCGATATATGTAGGGTTTTCGATTTTAGATTTATCAAAAACATTAATTTATGATTTCCATTATAACTCTATGGTTGAGAACTATGGTTCAAACATTCAACTGATGTATACGGATACTGGTGCGTATCATATATATTATTTTTATAATTATTTACTAATAAAATATAATTTTTTTTCCAGATTCGTTAATATATTACATAAAGACCGTTAACTTTTACACGGATTTGATAAATAAACCTAATATTTTAAATCGTATGGATACTTCAAACTTATCACCCAATCATCCATGCTATTGTGTCGACAGAAAAAAATTACCCGGAACATTCACTGATGAGACGAAAGGACAAGCTATTAGGGAATTTGTAGCACTACGAGCTAAATCTTATGCATATAATCTAGCAGGCGAAGAAAAACTCAAAGCAAAAGGTGTTAGGCGGCACGTCGTTAAAAATCACATGACTATAGAGGATTATAAACAATGTTTGTTTTGGGATGGTTCAATGGCTAGGAATGCCAGAGAATTGGCTATTAATCAGTTCAACGCTTTTAAATGTACCGGTCAAAAATCTTTAACCAACCAATACACTCCATATCGAGTAAATATATCATTAAGATCGTTCAAACATCAGATGAAATCAATTTCCACAGTTAAATTGGCTTTAAACCGATCCGATGATAAGAGGCTTGTGCTCGAGAACCAAATTAATACCAGGGCTCATGGGCACTATCGCAACGAGTGAGTTTTTAAAAAAATAATTAAATTATTTTACTTTTAATATTTTTTATTTGATTTTTTTTTTTTTTTTTTTATAGGGAAACTCCAACGTTTGATGAAACAGAATTAGATAGATTTAACGATTCTGAAAAAGAGTTGATGGATTTATTGGTAGCTGAAATACTTATTTAAGTTATTTTGCACGTATTGAATTTTCAAACTACTGTCACCTTCAATTGTTTGCATAAATTCAAAAAGATCGCGACGAGTTTCCATAGTTCAGATATATCTACAAAACGTATACTACAACTTTAAAAATGGATAATTCATAAATAGGAAACTATAGGCATAAACAGTTTTATCTCGTAACTCGTAATATTGTGGAGTTTTTTAACAAATACTAACCATTATTATATTTGTAAAAAAAAAAAAATTTAATCAACATTACATATATAGCACTAACCATTTTAATTAATCTAAATTATTATTGTAATATTTCTACTATGGAAATAATAGTGTTAAGATTGTAATCCCATTTATATATTGTATACAGTATGTTAAAAAAAAAAAAAAAAACCAATTGCATTCGAAAATATCTGTATCATGTAATCATATTATTATTATGTTATTATGTCATATTTATAAATCATTATAAAATTATCAAATTGTAAAATTTTAAGTCTGTTAACATAGTGAACTTGTAAAAATGTAACATTTGTAGCTTGTGAACTGATTGTAAAATTGTAACTGTAAAAAATCGATTTCTGTTCTACAAACATAAATCAATTTTTGGTGGTGAGGTACAATAATCACCCTGCATTGCATATATGTATGAGTGTGTGACGATACATATAATAAACGAACTGTTTTTCGTATTAATAACCACATTCGTTAAACGTTATACATCTACACAAAGTTCAAACAAGAAAATAAAACAGCGACTTACAATATATACCTAATTGCTGAAATATGTACAAGTTGAACGATTAATGCTTACTACATATTTTAAGCTATTGAATAGAACTTGATGATAACTCGTTAAAAATAATAAAATATTTTAGTTCTTATATGATTTTATTTGTTTATCTATTACTTACATTATTATCATTATTCGATAAATACATCATAGATTAGTATTATAACGTAGACAGCTATATACAATATGAAATATTTTAATATTGGCAAATAATATAAAACACAATCCCTTCGAATATTCATTTTCGTCGATAATTTAAAAATTAAATCAGTTGTCTTGTTTATAAAATGAGACAACATGTACTTACGATATTCATAATAATCTTCATCAATTAGATAGTTAATTAGATTAAACTAAAATAGACTAATCATTTTTAAAAAATAATAAATCGACACAAAATACAAAATTCCCAATCCTCTTGGCAAATACTTGTTCATACTTGAAAATAATACTTTTTTTAACTTTCATAGAGACACAAAGACACAAAGATGCACAGTGCATTAGTCATAAGTTGAGACATACAATAACCTTATTCTGTAACAATACCAATATCATACTGTTGGTCTTATATTTACATAGATTTTTTTATTTTTGAAATTATATTTTCGATGTACACTATATTTTGTGGTAAAACTAATTTATATGATATTATAACTAAAAAAATATGGGCTTCGTGAAAAAAAGGCTCACAGTAAATATTTATATGGTAAAACTATTATTGTTTTGCATAAAACATGATCCCTACCGTCTGAAATGACTGATAAACTATAAAGTGTGTGTAATTCTAAATTAATATAACATTATCAACAAAAACTAAAGCTTCGAATACATTATTTGTTGTAGCTTAATATATTATTAATTAAAATATTATATTTGTGTTTTAATATTATAAATATCAACTACCCCTTCTGCGTATACTCCCCAGTAAATAATATTAATATTACATCCTAATGACTATCAATATTATTTAATTATAATAATCTAATAAAATATATTAATTATAAAATAATAGTCTGTAAACTAAAATAATTTGTATTTGATACATGTATACTATATGTAATTTATGTTGTATTTAGTGTTTATATTAATTATATTGCCTATAAGTAGTATCTAAATATACTAACCCACATAGTATCATACTGTTACAAGCTAATTAGTTTAACCAATTAGGAACTTAACTTTAAATTAAGATAAAACAAATTTTATTGTTTTTAGTTTTGTAGTGTTTTATTATTTTTTATGTACAAACTACTTCAGTGTATAAAAAGCTGAAGTTTAACTTACTATTTCAATTTCATTACATAAAATTCACTAATTTTAAATTTTAACTTCGTATATATAAAGTAAATTTTTTTACTTCAAAAAGGAATTTAATTTGTTTAAATTGTTTAAATTATTCTTAGGTGATACCTACCAAATTTTTTTAGATATTTTACAAAATTAATTAATTTAAAAAACAATTAGTTCGGTACTCGTATAAAATGAATAACCAATCTTTTAATTATTATTTTTATAAGGTGGAATTATAAATTGTCAACATATGCCTTAATAAAGTAGGTGATCATCAATTATTATATGTGTTAAATACTATCTGTTATAATTACTATCAGTTTTATTATTAATATCAGGGCTCATAACTTACAACACTTACATATTTTTTTTGAGAGGTCCTAAAAATACCTATGTGAGCTATACATTTGTTTCATATAACTAAGAAGCTAATTACAATATTTTATGTTGCATATTTATTTATATTTCAATGTATAAGTGCTATTTTGCTTTTTTAAGTCTTTTTCAGTTCCGTAGCATTTAATACATTTTTTCCTAATATTAACAAGTAATTATATTATTATTAATTTTTATATTTGTAATTAATTGATGATAATTAACTAATTCTTCTTCTTTTGTTTTAAATTATATATTTATTTATATCATATAACGATGCGATCGGAAATTAAATAATAAGAGTTTAATTTTTTATACATGATGTTTTTTTTATTAATAAGTGAAAATTGTTTTTTTTTATATGATATATTTTTTTCGCATATTTTTGTATTTTTAATCAGTGCTCAACTTGGAAAAATTAAAGAATCTATTTACTTAAAAAAAAAACTTATTAAGCGTTATAATTATAATATAATAATAGTAGGGGTAAAATTTCTGAAAATTAGTTGGGGTACTCCGTCCCCCCACAAGTCGAGCTCTGTTTTTTATGTATATTTCAGTGCTTTTATGAAATTTTTAAAAACATATTATAGCACTTATAGCTTGATTTTTTAATGCTATAAATTATGAGCCCTGATTATTACTTATTTATATAGGTACTTACAAAATAAAAAATAAATTATCTGTGAAATAATATGAATGGAAGATAAAAATACAGATACATTGATGAACATTTGCGAACATGATATGGTTTATGAAGTACTGGAAACGAGGAACCATTATTCTGTGTTTGGAACGAAAGCCCATCACATTAGTCGTCAACGTGTGGGTAAGATAGATTTATGATTCCCGTGTTGTAAACCGCTATTTCTATACTTAATTATTACTGGGTGGTGGTCGTTGGGGCGAAGGTAATAATTTTGATCAAAAAAATAATAATCCGTTTGGACGAGTGAAATTGTTTTTAAATGTGCGAGGTAAAAATCTGATGACAAATACGGATGATATTATTGCTAATAAAAAATGAAGAGTTTATACAAGAAACATTGAATAAATATAAAAGAGGGGATATTAAGCAATTAGAATACATAAAATGTTTAGATTTAAAATATCAGGCTAATAGATTGCTTTAAAAACTACTAATAATTATATTATTTGTAATTTTATTTTATTATTTTAATTTTTTGACTGTAAATAACTCTGAAATAATCTAACCTGTATAAAAATTATAATAATTAAATAATAATATTAATAATATCCATATCAATATTTTTTTTACACAGAACTTATTATTAATTATTTATATTTTATATGATTTCTTTAAATTAATTGTTGAATTTATATTATGAGCATTTTCATACAAAGCCAATAGATTACTATAAATAATACTAATTATATTATATGTAATTGTATTTATAATTTTTTGACTGTAGATTACTAACTATTTATATAGTTATATAACATATATATAATAATATTATTAATATTCATATCAATATTTTTTTTCTAAATATAACTTATTGTTAATTATTAATATTTTATTTAATTTTGTTTAATTAAGTGTTGAGTGAATATTATAAGCATTTTTATACCATCCAAACGATATTTTTAGTTAAATAATCCTCGCCCAAACGATATATATTTATTCACCCAAATAGACTATATTTTGGGTCGATTCTCTCAAACGGTGTACACTCTAATTACCATATATTACCACCGCAGATATAGATCTATGTATGTCTGCGATTAACACTAGCAGTCTGCGTTATTGTTTGGAAACATTATTGTTATCAATATATTCAGAGCCTTCCCGGGCAAAATGTTTTCGTTGTCCTGCCCCCGGCGACGGTCCTGAACATAATCGTGTTCCGTCTGGTTAAATCTTAACCACGGGCTTTAGTTGCGTCCACACGTATGATCTCGTTTCAAATTATACACACCATAAACCGTTGTTTCTACCCTTTTTCATGGTCAAATGTTTTCCGAACCGTTAATCGTGTACGTAGGTTGCCCGTGTGTTTTATAGATATTTTTAGGCCCACCGAAATATTTTTGACCATATTTACCACGACCGAATAATTTTCTCCTCCGTTCGCAATAACAATAATACGGACGGCCGTAAGTTTATGCTTACACGTAGATAGTAACGGCATGTGTGCTACTCTCCATTTTATCTACATATTTTCCGTTGCTTTATTATGAATTGTTTTATGTTCACTACGACTTAACGACGATCATATTTATCACGTAGTTTCGCGTCTTCTTTGGATTATAATCAAGTACAACATGTAGCATCTATTATTACTGACAACGATTGTCCGTTGCTTTCGGCGTACATCGACACGAGTATCTAATGCTACCGAATAAAATTGAAACTGCCAGTTCAAACAATTAGATTTACCCGCCTACCTCTTCCGATCTACCACTTATTCGAATACCAAATCAATTTTTATTTTAAAATTTTTAATAATTAAAGACGTTATGTAATATTTAATTATTAACTAGGTATACTATTTTAAATGGAAAATACTTATCAAGTGATATGTATAAAAAATAATTTAAATTCTTTAATGATAATTTTTATTATTTTTTTAACATTAAAGTTTTCTAGGCGCCGCTGCGAGTACATATGGATTGTATTACTCTCTCACTCTACACACGCTCGCAACAGGGCTATTTTGTTCGAGTTGAAAAACAATTACGACCGAAAGCTTGGAATCTAGTCGTCCTATACGTATACAGACAAGCGAGTTAAGTACTTCGATAATTGGCATTGTTTTCGATCGACGGACGGATATTTTTATCTTTGCAC